TGATTGGAACAAACACAAGCGTTTTTAAATTTGAACCCATCTCTCCTTTGACAACGACGTATCCATTCTTTCTGAATGGTGGACGATTCCAAATCTCTTGCGACGGGAAAGCAATGAAAAATAATATCTGTGATGCCAGATTTTTTCAAAACCAATTGGTTGTTGTGGCACGACGCCACAGCACATCGACGCCCGCCAGGCATTTTCGTACCTACGCATAATCGTATAATGTAAAAAAACAATTAATGAAAAAAATTCGCTTTCAATTGTTCAAAAAGATCTTACCTCACAAAAGAAATATTTAGTTACAACAAGAAATTTTCAAAAATTGTCCAAAACTAATAACTAAACTAAGTAATAACAAACCAAAATCACTCTTAATAGTCCAAAAACTAATCTAAACTAATAACAAAGACAATAGAACTTATTATCCAAAGTGTTCCAAACGAAAATCGTCAGAAAAAAACGTAGGTCATCTACTTGCACTAAAACCAAGTATGCGTTAGGCAACGGTAAGCCAAAAGCCCGCGCAATTGGGATTTCAAATTTGAAATTAAGATCGTAGCGCCGCGGTGTCGAATAGCTCAACTATTGATTTAAATTATTTATAACCTCACTTTTGTTGTTAACCGTTAACCAAATTTACATAATACATAAATATGATTTACGATTTACATTATTTACAATTTACATTCGCTTGAATCACAAATTTGAATGTTTGTCTTGAGTTCATGGCTCGTGATGCAGGCGAAAATTCATTATAATCTATTCCGTTTACCTGACCTGAAATGATCATATCCATACAGCAGCCTAAATGTATCTTTTTCTTATATTTTTGTAAACTTTCCACAATAGGACATCGCCAAAAGGGTCTCAAGACAGGTATGGTATCTCCCTTATAATGTCTGTATTTGAATAACTTGTATGTGTAATAAATAAATAAATATTTCATAAATAACTCTTCATTTTTATTTATAAATACCTAGGTAAAAATTGAATTAACAAAGGCAAATAACTTGACCACAAATCTGATTTTTACTCGAACTACCTATATAATACTGGTTATTAGGATTTAATAAAAACTTAACATGTTCTGCTGTTTGCTCGGCCATTTGTATGTCTGTCTCAGAAGAGTTCAATAATTGATTATCAAAATCAAAATATACAGTATTCATTGACAAAGCTACCCTAAAATATTTAAAAATTAAGAATTACAATAATAAAACTAACACAACACAGTAATACAATAATAAAATAAGTCTCAAGTATGTACATAAATCAACAATATATAAATATACATACACACCTACATACATCTAGCACTAACTGTAACAAAAATAAAAATTAAAAATTATCAAAAATTAAAAATTAATAAAACTTGCACAAGGTATGTTAAAACGTCAAGAATATCAACTTATAACTAATTATTTCACAACCGATCCTCAAAGTACTCAGTGACAGTATAATAAGCCTTCCGCACAAGTAAACGCTTAGTCTCCGCTTTAAATTTAAGAGCATTCTGGATACGTCTTATATCAACAGGAAGATGATTAAACATTTTCTTGGCATTGTAAATAAATGATTTTCTTATTTGGCTTGTTCTTGGAATTGGCAGAGGGATGTTGTAAGTTTGTCGAGTATCATAGGGACCTTCAACAATAGTATGCTTGTACTTCCTAAAGACCAGGTATACACTCTGCAATATACAGACATGGAAGAGTCATTGTACCCTTTTCCACAAAAGATGGCCTACAAGAATCTCTTCCTCTAATTCCAAACATAAAACGCATGGCTCTCTTCTGCAAAACAAACACCGAGTTAAACAAATAGTCACTGCAACTACCCCAAAAAGGAATCCCATACCTTAGGCGAGACTCAATGAGAGCAAAATAAACAATCCTGCTAGCAGAGAAGTCTAGTTCCCTTGCCACAGATCTCAATGCATAACAGCCAGAGGACAATTTTGCAGCAAGTTTCTCAATGTGCGCTGCAAAAGTCAGTGCCCTATCAACATGAACACCCAAATTAAAAGTATAACTACGTTCATTACTTGTATTGGTCTCACTAGAATCTTGATTTCTTTTTCTTTTGGCAAGTTTTTCAGCACTCATGGAATCTATTTTTTGGCTCGGTTTATGGATCACTATAGAAGAGGGCAAATTCTGGGATGGTACAACTGTTTTTTTCAATATCCGACCTCTACCTGTACCGTACCTCTAGACCTGTACTCTCACCTGTAAATAATAAAAACAGTCAATATTTTCAAACAAAACATTTTAAAAATGGATTGTACTTGATCAATGCCTGGAAGCAGGCCTAAAAGGAAACTAGGGCACAGAGTTATCAATTATTATGCTTGTTTACCCCAACACAAAATGCTTGCTTGAAATGCAGAGAATACACTTCCATGACTTTGGTGACTGGTTTGCCAATACGAAGTTTTAAAATCCAAGCTTTTCTTCTCGACACCTTTTTCCATTTTCGTTTCCAAATAAACCCGTGGGCCTGTTCCAAGGGGAAATATGGAGAAACTCGATCCTTTGTCAGCTTTTTTTTAGCCCAAGACTTGCACTGAGGAACACAACAGTAGTGATTAGGTTATGATTATATGTATCTGATCACAAATATCTGATATAATTTTAGACTAATATACTAGAAACTAGTTCCGTAATTTCCAGCCAAATCATAACCTGTGGGGCAAACAGCCTACGTCAAGGCGAGAAACGCCATGATGCCTACGTCACAACTGGTTTTTTGGCATGGGGAGGTAGGGGGGGATTTGTTACACACAGGCCTTATGAGGATAAGCCATCCTTAGTAGTGTATCATCCTTGAGAAGTGTCAACATTCCCTCCAAACCAACGGTCGTCATCTCATCGTCCATTATTCATTTCCTTCCCGTTTGTTATTCTTTTTCTACCTTTTGTGCTACTGTTTCCACAAATTATTTTTAATATCATATAAACTTGAATAGGGAGGGGCTAGTGAAAATCGAAAATGTCTAAACAGCGAAAAACGCAGGAGCTAGTAGAGAAGCACATGAAAACCATCACAATCCCTCCAATACCAGGCCTGGAGAAGAGTACCAAGGAATTGGTAACGAAGATGATCGATCATCCTGCTTTCAACAATCCAAAGTAAGTTATTTATTCTCTTATCAAATTCAAGAGAGCACAATCTAGTTCAGTCAGTCTAGTTTGGATTAGGAAGGCCTCATCTGCGCCGGTTACCTTCTATAATTGTGATAGAACCCTTGATATTAATACTTGTAATATAAATGTAATGGATGTATTCAACTCGATCGTAAATATTAAAACAAATTTATCAGCTGGTCCTGATGAATTACCTGTACAACTTTTTAAGGAGTGTAAATATATGTCTGAAATTCTAGTAAAATTGTATAATGTATCTTTGTCATCTGGAACATTCCCTTCACCATGGAAGGATTCTCGAGTAACTCCAATTTTCAAGAGTGGCAACAAATCTTTGGTTGATAATTGAAGGGGCAAGTGGATGAAGGAGTTATGTGGCAAAAAAAAGTTTCTGAATAAATTAAGTTTTAGTTTATCTATTTGCATTTTTTTTAAGAGAAATTGTTTAGGACTGAAACCTACTGTCTGGGAGAAATGATAACTTTGCATTTTTAATACCCATATCGATTTTGAGTTTTGATTTTTTTTTCTGGTGAAATATGATAATTGAATGTACATAACCCCTTATTTCATAATACTGCTTCGGTCATGAGATTCGAAATTAACATAAATTGTAGGTCAAGTACTCCAATAAAACTGAATTCAAGTGAAAAAAAAAAACATATAGGCATATTAATTTATTACCAAATTCAAGTGAACAAAAGACATATAGGCATAATTAAATTTATTTGGTACGTCGTGCTTTTTTCGGCTTGGGCTCTTCTTGAATACCAATGATATTTTCATAGAAGCCTCTATGTTCTTCTAAGATAAAAGGCATTTGCTCACGAATGTTAGCAATTTTTTTTTCTGATATGTTCCCTCTTTTGTGACCAATTCTAGGAAACTCAATATCAGTAGGAGGCACATAGTTTGCAGGTGGAGAGTTATTTTTGAATAGGGAAACTTTCTTAAAGGGAACATATTCATCATAATATGATTCCTTATATAGGTAACTTCCGAATTCAACAACCCGAATCCATTTAATGCCGTCTCTAAAGGGAACTTTTTCATTTAAAACGTTTTTTTTTTTGTGAATCAGTCCCATTTTGTTTGGTAAACTTTCAGCGTCTCGAAAGTATGATTCCATGTCATTAACCGTCGAATTTCTTGTGCAGGCTGTTTTAATTAGTTGCCTATATTGATCTGGGGTATAAATATTGCTTTGTTTCCTTAGAACTTTCTCTATTCTACCAAAGTCTCGATCTGAGTCTAAATAAGTATGGCCAACCTCTGGAAACTTGTGATCAATAACTTTGAAAACACCTTTCAAAATCAATAGCTGGAAAAAGCAAATCATTTGAAAATTTTTGTTCTGGCCTGCACATGAATCTGACCACACAACAAGCTGTTCTTTGTCCTTTACGTTTTCACAAGTTTGCACAAAATTCCATAAGCTGCTTACAACTTCTGTGCTTCCTCTGCCGGCTATATCTTCAGTCCAGGTTTGCATAACTGATTTATGCCCTGTAGTTGTGATAACGTGAATGCCCAAGTTATAAAACCATATCTGTCTAAGATAAAATGCTTTAGACGTGGTGATTTTCGGTAAAGGCATAGTTTGTTGTAAGTCAACCGTTATGTAGCACACCTTTTCATCTTTTAAAGCACGTTCGCGGTCTCTGGACATCAACTGAAAGCCTAGTTGAACATTTTCTTCATGTTCTGCATTTGAATTTCCAGCGTCACACTTACTGCAAGTATCACTTTTCGGATGAGAAAATGATAGGTTGAATTTTGTTGAGAAAATTCTTGAATATGTTGACTTTTTAACTAAAAAGCAGCCAGGCATATTCTGTTCTCTGCATTCTTCAATATACAGTCTATACATAAGTGACATATTAAGATTTGGAGCTAAATACCTCTTATGTGGGTTGCTTTCCCGTGAGTAATGACTTTCCTCTGATGGAAACTTTTTTATATGAGTCATAATAGCTTGCTCTACATCGTCATTAATCTTGTGGGGCCTGTTTGTATGAATACCTCGTCTATCTTTAGATGGGACTGAGCTTCCAGTTTTCAGCTTTTCTTTTATTATATCCACTTTTTTACGGCTTATTTGGTACAAGGCACAAAAAGCTGATTTACACACAAACACTTGTTGGTTATTTAATATCATGCTGTATTTATAAGAAGAAGTTTTATGCTTAATAGCATTTTTACGTTGACGAACAATGGGTAAAGGTGTGATACTTCTAAACAACTCTGCTGTCGATACTTTTTATAATCAAATTTATCATGCTATTGAGATCTTTACACCCATTTCAAAAAGAAAAACAGCAAAATTTCCAGGATGGATGGATAGTCATTTGAAATGTTTGATTTTGTCTAAAAAAAAGGCACATCAAAACTATAAAAATACTATGTCCGCTCAGGATTATGGAGTTTTTTTCAGAAATTGGGAAAGAATGTAAAATTTATTCTCATATCAGCCATAGGAATTTCATTGAGAAAATCGAGTCCGAGACACAGGACAGAAATGGATTTTGGAGATATGTACGATCGAAAAATGAAAATCGTGGATATCCCAGTTCTATGTTTCTTGATGAGCATGAAGGTAGCACACCTCATGAAATTGTCAATCTCTTTAAGGATAGTTTTTCCTCGGTTTATACTGAGGTGAGTGTTGAGAGTGATCGAAACATTCCTGTCTCTAATTTATCTAGTTTGTCTAATTGCAGTATCAGTTCGGTTCAAATTACCCCTCTTGATATATTTAACAAGATACATTCATTGAAGAATGGATTGGGTTGTGGTCCTGATGACATCCCAGTATTATTTGTTAAGAATTGTAGTTGTATTCTTTCAGAGATATTATGTAAAATATTCAATAAGGCTTTAGAGTTGGGACGGTTTCCTGATATGTGGAAATTAAGCTATATAACTCCTGTGTTTAAAAGTGGAGAAAGAAATAATATTAAAAACTATAGGGCCATATCCAGAATGTCTATTTTTTCTAAGGTATTTGAGTCTATAATAACGGATTTTCTTACACCAATTTTGAAACATGTTATTGTACCGGAACAGCATGGCTTTATTAAGGGTAGATCTACATTGACTAATCTTCTGGTCTATGAGGAGGCTCTGTTGGAGGGCTTGGAGAATAAGTGTCAGATTGACTCGGTCTACACTGACTTCTCCAAGGCCTTTGACAGGGTTGACCATAAGATACTATTGGAGAAGGTGGCCGATGTGGGGCTGCATGGAGGTCTATTGAGCTTGATTGGAAGTCTTCTCACAGGTAGAAAACAGGCTGTAAAAATTGAGAATTACATCTCTTCAGTATTTTCGGTGACCTCGGGGGTGCCTCAGGGAGGACACCTGTCTCCTTTGCTGTTTAGTATATTTATTAATGATCTGTCAGGTGTCTTCAGAAATTCCGATTTTTTGCTCTTGGCTGATGACTTGAAGTGTTTTATGGTTGTTCGGGATGTCAGGGATGCTCAATTATTGCAAGTGGACTTGGATATGTTTCGGACTTGGTGTCAAAGAAACAAACTCCCCTTAAATGTTGAGAAGTGTAAGGTTATTACTTTTTCTCGGAAAAAAACACCTTACTTACATAATTACGTTCTTAATGATTTGGAGATTAACAGGGTTGAAACTATTAGAGACTTGGGAGTCTATTTCAACACTAATGTAAGCTTCACAGAGCACATTGAAATAACTGCTAATAAAGCAATGAAATTACTAGGCTTTATGTTCAGGTCACTAAAAGAATTTACTAATATCTACACCCTAAGAAACATTTATTGTGCAATTGTTAGATCAGTTGTAGAATATGCTTGCCCTGTCTGGTCCCCTTATTATGCTGTGCACATCTCCCACTTAGAACGAATCCAAAAAAAGTTTTTAAGATCCATTGCATATCGATTGGGCATCCCAAGTGAATCTATAAATTATAATGAGTTAATGTCTGTCCTAAATCTTGAAAATCTGAACCAGAGGCGACAGTTTTTTGATATGTGTACTTTGTTTAAGATTGTTAATAATTCTATTGATTCTCCAGACTTACTTGCTAGAATTGGCTTACATGTACCATCTAGCAATTTAAGAGGAAACACATTGTTTAACCTTGATTTTCGTAGAACCAATTATGGTTACCATTCACCTTTACTTAGAAGCTGTCGTTCTCTGAATGATATTATTTTGAAGACCGATTTGGATGTTTTTAACATAAGTTTGGATAGATTCAAAAGAATTTTAAAGTCGATCCTAAAATGATCGTTTTTTCTATTTGTATTCAATTTTAAGCGTATTATGTTGTTTATGTTTTGATACCTACTACAAAATATTTGTTTAGGCTTATGTAATATTGTTTTTTTATACTAACTTGTCTGTTGCCTACTTGTTATTCCAAATATTTATTATTGCGTGTACCTACACTTTAAGTCTACCTTTGTAAAAATGGCATGTCCGTAAATAAAGAATTTATTTATTTATTTATTTATTTATAAACAATAAGGCATTTTTTGCGTTCATGTCAAGTTTATAGAAGCCTTCAAATATTAGTTTTCGTGAATCTAAATCGAACTTTGTGCTGCATTTGAGTCTACAGCGTTCATTGCATAAACATTCAGAGCAGAAAGTTTTTGCAGGTACGCTTTGATTTTTATAGGAAATGTAACTTTCTCCCCTTTCCCTTTTAATTGCTGCTGATCGCCTTTTCCACGTATCTGGCTTTCTTATCCTTCGTCTTGAAGTTTTTTCTTTAACTGGGAACGTTTTAATCCTTTTTGTGCCCCTACTCGTCAAATTTGTATTGGTCTTTGGAACTTCACAATCTGTGTCGTCATTACAATGTGCAATTTGTTGTTCATTTTCTTGCTCTCCATCTGGTTCGTTTTCTTGCTCATCCTCTGGTTCGTTTTCCTCATTTTCTAATTCGGAAGGTTCAGATTCGCTACCACTTGATTCGCCAATCAATGAGGAGTCGTCACTATCATCTTCCAAATATGAAAAAATATATTGTCACAAATGCCGCTCTTACACTATAATATTTTTATTAGCTTACCATCAGCTAATTCCACCTCATGATCATCGTGTTGATAAAAATAACTACCCCTACTTGGACCTGCCACATTATGCATATCATGCTGATTATCCAGAGAATCAGATATGATTTTGGCTGCATTGTTACATTCCTCACTATCATCTTCAAACAAAGGTGCCACAGAATAAACTAAAAATTTTTATAACAGGTGTTTATTATGATAATAAGTATAAATGTACATAAATACATACATATATTTTCACCCAAAATATTCTGATGTGAAGAATCAATGCTGCTTGTGGTTACATTGTTGTTTTCTTGTTGCAAAGGCTCCAAAGAAAAAACTAAAAGTGAAAAGAAAATAGGTACCTATGTGATATTATTTTATTTGTGACATATTCGCATACCCTGACTTTAGGGTTGCCACCTGTCCGGTTTTCACCCGGACTGTCCGGTTTTTAAAAGGTTTGTCCGGTGTCCGGAAGCATACTGAAAATGTCCGGGAATCCTATTTACCTAACTAATTTCTGAACGTCTACTTCTCCAATAGTTATATTCCTTTCACACCTAGGAGGAGCTCCGGAACAGCTCCGGGGCGTTACGCGCTTATTCCTTTCGAATAGTGTTTGTTGCACCACGCATCTGTTGCTTGCAAAACGGGGGCGACTAACACCGGAACCAGTAGCTCGAGTGTTTTAAACTCCTGAAAGGAATACAACTAATGACTGGTGTGTCGTATCACGGTGTGTCTCCGATTTCGAGTTAAGTGACGAAAAAGTGGACTTTTCCTGCCTAGATAGAAAAATTCGGGTTATTGGTTATAAATGTCACCCCCCTCTATCTTTTTTATTTGACATTTTAGAAAAAAGTGTCCAAATAAAAAATTTATGGTTGAAATTAAATTTTTTGAAAAACTCACTTTTGCATATACAGGGTGTTTTAAAAAAGCTGGTCGTGCTCCAACTTTCTTATTTTTAATTGAATACCCTGTATATTATTTAATATTCGGATTCTACGTCAAATTCTGAGCAGATTTCATGTGATATACCCTATACATAAGTTCAACTGTTTTGGAAATATTTACAGTTGAAAATTGACTTTTTTGTAAATTTGACAAGCTGTAAAACCTAAACGGTTAACTTTTGAGCAAAACCGATCTTACATTTTTTTCTAAGATTTTCACAAGTTATCATTTGACACCAACTTTGATTTTAACCGAAGATTAAATTTAATTGGAATTTTCAATCATGGATTAAATTTAAAGTTGATGTCAAATATTGGTGTCAACTGATAGTTTATAAAAATCTAAGATAAAAATGTCAGATCGGTTTTGCTCTAAAATTAACCGTTTGGGATTTACAGCCTGTCAAAGTTGCAAAAAAATCAATTTTCAACTGTCAATATTTCCAAAACACTTGAACTTAGGTATAGGGTATATCACATGAAATCTGCTCAGAATTTTACGTAGAATCCGAATATTCAATAATATACCATTTCAAATAAGAAATTTGGAGCACGACGAGCTTTTCTGAAACACCCTGTATATGCGAAAGTGGGTTTTTCAAAAAATTTCATTTCAACCAAAACTTTTATTTGGGACACTTTTTTATAAAATGTCAAATAAAAAATATAGAGTGGGGTGACATTTTTAACCAATAACCCTGTGCTACATATGTACGGTCGAGGGAATGATCTATGGTATACACATGTTTAATGTATCCTACCTTGGATCGATTATGTACGGGTTTTCGGAAATTAAAAGGTGGCAACCCTACCTGACTTGGATTTGCTTGGTTTTCTTGTTGCAAAAAAGAAGTATTTTCTGGTGTTTTTTGACTTTGTATGATTGAACTCGATTCTGCTTCAAATTGTACATCATCACAATTTAGCAAAAAAGTGGGTTCAATTTGTACTTCTTTAATTTCTGAGGTACCTACACATTTTTGACTTAATTTAATCTAATCTAGTAACAACAAAGCAAATATTCCTTACCTTGACTCTTAGGTTTTATATTATTTTCACTTTGGGGCTCACATTCAGTAGTTTCCTCGCTCATCTCTTTCACCATTTGAAGCATTAATTTTCCGCGTGATGACATTTTTCATTAATAATTATTTGATTTGGAACAAAACACAGCAAAACACAGCACAACAAATTTTGAGGTTAGGTAACTAGCACTTGCACATTATGCACGCCTCATTATGAAAAAATAAACAACGCCCACACGGTCACGTAAGAAGGGGTTATGTGCACATATAATCCTTTCACCATATTAAAATAATTTCGCAATATGATGATTTCTAAGTGCATGAGGGCCAAATTATGGACCAACTGGTAAGTGTCTGGTTGTTACCTAGCAGGTACTTTCTATTCTCTAGTGCATAGAAAGTACCTGCTAGGTAACAACCAGACACTTACCAGTTGGTCCATAATTTGGCCCTGAAGGAGTTATGGGTACATAGTCCCATCATTCACAGTACTTTTCCTAAAAATATAATAATGATAAGTTGGATGAAGGGGTCATGGGTACATAGCCCCTTTTTTCACAATAACTTAGCTGATGTTGTGAAGCAGATGAAAGGCTTATGGGCGCATAGCTCCTTCTTTCACAACAGAGTCAATAAGTTTTGTAACATGGCCCCTTCTTACTACTTCATATCTGTTTAAATCAGACAGGTAGCGTTAAAAGGGATCGGAGACAAGTTACATATGTACATAACTCCTTCATCCACAACAAAATCGCTATTTTTCAAAAAATGTCACATAACCCCTTCATCCACTTGCCCCCTCAATTATAGGCCAATTTCTAAGTTTAGTATTATCGCAAAGTTATTCGAATCAATAGTAACTAATAAGATAGCTCCTTTAGTGTACAGTGTATTATCGTCATCCCAACATGGTTTTGTAAAGGGTCGTTCAACTGTTACGAACCTTCTGGTCTACACTGAATCACTGGCGAGGGCCTTGGAAGACAGATATCAGATTGACTCAGTCTACACCGATTTTTCCAAGGCTTTTGACAGGGTGCAGCACGATATTTTGTTACACATATTGGAGTGTGTAGGTTTCCATGGTTCAATTCTGGCTTGGTTTAAGAGTTATTTATCAGACCGTAGGCTGACAGTTAAGATAAAGAATGTGATATCATCTAAAATAAATGTGTTATCTGGAGTGCCCCAAGGATCACATTTGGCACCAATACTTTTTGACATTTTTATAAATGATCTTATTTCCAAAATTAAATTCAGTAGTAAACTTCTTTTTGGTGATGACTTGAAGTTATTTAAGACTATAAGGAATACTGAAGATTGTCTTGAATTGCAAAAAGACTTAAATAGCTTGTGCCTGTGGTGTAAGTTAAACGGTATATGGAATTGAATATTCAGAAATGTAAGATCTTAACCGTATCTAGAAAAAAACAGAACATTCCATTTGATTATGAAATCTATGATGAGCAACTGGAAAGACTAAATGTTATAAAAGATCTTGGAGTTTATATTGACAGTGAGCTGCGGTTTGATTACCATATAAATTATATGAGGAATAAAGCAATAAAAATGTTAGGCTTTGTAAATAGAACACTTGCTGATTTTCGTGATGTCACGTGTTTTAGAACACTATATTGTAGTTTTGTAAGGTCAGTGTTGGAGTATGCTAGTCCAGCCTGGTCTCCATATTATAATGTTTATGTAGATTCTTTGGAGAAGGTTCAGAGACGATTTTTGAGAACTATAAATTTTAAATTGGGAATTCCCATGGAAGACATTAATTATGAACATTTGTATGGAAAGTTGAATTTACCACTTTTGGAAGTTAGAAGGACTCAATTTGATATAATTACTTTGTTCAAAATTGTAAATGGCATGATTGATAGCCCTGAATTGTTAAGTAATATTAATATTAGAGTACCCCAAAGATTAACCCGTCAGCATGACTTATTTGCAATAGATTTTCATAGAACTAACTATGGGTTAAATAATCCAGAATATGTGGGCTGGCAAATTCAAAGTGTGGTAGTGCTGATCTTTTCTGTACCGATCTTGCTTGTTTTAAGAGACTTATAAAGTTAATTCTTTAAATTGTATCAAATTACTGGAAACGCTGGGTGAATCTATTAATTATCCTATTCTATTTTTTGTAGTTGTATTTTAGTTATTGTAATTTTAGTGCATTGAATGTAATTTATGATAGATTGTAAAAGCTAAATGGCAAGTCCGTTAATAAACAAATTAAAATTAAATTAATAGTCATGTTACATTGGTACATTCAGGTAGTGCCAGCGGCTGAGCTCAGCCACTCATCAGGGACTTTATTCTCAAAACCAAGGAACAGCGTTCTCATGAGAACGATTGCTCTGGGTCCTTATTCTTAAAACAGGGGAGTAGCGTTTCCAGGAAAACGAGTGTTCCGACTTTTTCAATGATATGCAAATGATAATATAAGTAACAAAGACAGAACACTCATTCTCCTGAGAACGCTGCTCCCCTGTTTCAAGAATAAGGACCCTGTCATCATGTCAAATCAGTGTTATGGAAATATGAATATGGACAACAAAGACAGAACCTTCGTTCTCATGAGAATTGCTGCTCCCCTATTTCAAGGATGTCCCTGCCTTTTCTGTCTATTTTCAACCAATGGCATTCGCCCCAAGTGTCGCGGCATATCGCCAAAGGCTCCTCACCCGAGGCGATTTTTTTTTGTGTGCCACACACAAATTTGCACCCAAAAGTCATTGTAAAAACGCGCCTCGGGCAAAAATGTATCCCGATGATGCCAAAATAGTTATACAGGGTGTTCTAGTTAAGGCCAAATTATGGACCAACTGGTAAGTGTCTGGTTGTTACCTAGCAGGTACTTTCTATTCTCTAGTGCATAGAAAGTACCTGCTAGGTAACAACCAGACGTTTACCAGTTAGTCCATAATTTCGCTGTCCTAGTGCAATATTGGATGATATCGCCTTATAAAAAAATTAAATTACAAAGTTTGATACTCTAAGGTGCATTAGTTAAAAATATTTTTGAATACACAGGGTGCTCCGTAAATGGGGTATGCGACAGAACTTTGTTATTTTAAATAGAACACCCTGTATATTAGTACAATAATGGATCGTTCTAAAAATCCTACATACTTTTTGTCAGGAATTACCTATACCAAAATTCAACCGTTTTTATAAATAAATAAATAATTGTTTATTGACGGACTTGCCATTTTTAAATGAGTAAGTACATAGTTCAAATTGATAAAAAAATACTTAAGATTGAGACAAAATATAAATTGATAAAACACAATCACAGTGTTGACAGTAAAATTTAAAAAAAAAAAAAACAGTAGATAAAAACATCACTTTCATGATGGTAGCATCCATAAAAAAAAAAAAACACATCAATCAACAACAATAGAAAGCACAGTTTAATAGTATATTACATACCGAGTAGGGAAGTGTTTCTTTACTGTCGAGAGATTGACTATTAATCTCGAGACAGAAATGAAAACTTTCCTTTGAGGTTTGTATACTATTTTATTTGCAAGCACATCATTAACTATGATTGGTCATTCAATTTTTTTAATATTAAAAAAATAAAACAAACATGCCAAAATTTGTCATTCACTGTTTTGACGTTTTCACCTGACATATTCTCATTGCTGCCAGCAAAGGTAAATAAAGTACAGTGAGGGAAATCGGTGAGGAAAGTCGAATAGGGAAATCGGTGAGGAAAGTCGAATAGGGAAATCGAAGAGGGAAGTGACACAGGTAAAGTGACACGTCCAAATTTTTAAAAAACCAGTAATGTCAAGATTACATATATGATTGCAAATAAAACAATTTTATTTGCAGAAAAAACTAAATACAAAACTTGTAGATAAACATGAGTACTACATTCCAAAATTATTTTGCAGTATACAGGGTGGCCTAATAAGTAGTGGTGATACAAAGTTATGTTTTTTCAAATGACTCTCCATGTATATTATAACATTTCTGGATTGTTTGGAAAATTCTTGACATATTTCGTGTACAATGTCATATACCTATCTTCAACTGTTTCGGAAATATTGACAGTTTAAAATTGACTTTTTGCATCTTTGATAGACTGTAAAACCTAAACGGTTGATTTTACAGAAAAACCGATTTCACATTCTTATCCTAGATTTTTATAAGCTATCATTTGACATCAACTTTGAAATTAAGCGGAATTTTTAATCATGTAAAATCTGTTTTTTTTTTTGAAGATAAAAGTCAAAATGACATTATGTTGGGAATACAATGTAAAATTGTCAAGCTTTCAAATTTTTTATGTTTTATGGGAAATAAAGACCGCCGCGCGCTTAGTAACTCTAACTCACCCTGTATAATTAGCTGCACAGATAATGTATACATTTCCCAAATCACAAATATCATTCTAGAATAAAAAGCTTGTAGAGTACAGTCTATCCTTCTTGTATATGATTTTCAAAATATATTTTTGAGTGATCATCAATTTGATTAGTTTTACTAAAATTTAAATATAGCCTGAAAGAATCTAACCAGTTTTTTGTTACGGTGAGACCCACTGTCAGTTTTTCTTTAATAATTTCATTCCAAGAACTTCCATTGATCACCAAAACTGTCATCCGCATAATATGAAATCAATTTATCGTTTATGTTTAATGAAAATAGACTATTTATGTAAGTAATAAAAAAAATGGGTCCAAGCATTGTACCTTGAGGTAAACCAATTTTTATCTCTTGTCTGTTGCTAAGTACACCATTAATTTTGACAATTTGGTATCTATCATACAAATAGTTTTGAAACAGTCCCAACACAGTTAGCCCTAACTCCATATTCTTCTAGAACAAGAAGAAGTTTATCGTAGGGAACTGTGTTGAATGCCTTAGCTAAGTCAAGTCAATAAAGACAGACGCACACTTCGTACCCAAGTTCAAATTTTTTACAATCTCGGTTGTCAGTGCAATTATTGCATCGTCTGTTAGACTTTTCTATAAAACCAAATTGCTTCCCAAACAAGATCTATCTTTAAGACATCTCTCAGACAACTTGGCAAAGGTAGTTATCTTATCATGCTTATTGGTCTATAGTTTTTGATAGAAGTCCTAGGGAAACTTTTGTGTATAGGAATAATAACTGTAATTTTGATATGAGATGGAATTATTCCTGTTTCGAAACACTTATTTATAATGTGAGTGCGTTGTTCCAGGATTTTAAGATGAGTCTGTTTTAATATCCTTGATGTTATGCCATCTATGCCCAGACAGTTGACTTAATTGAAGGAAATAACATCGAATTTTTGAAGGGTTTATTCAGATAAGAGTGATTATTTAAATCAGGAATTGATTCTGCCATCATCAATCCGATCTCAGAAAAGTCATACTTGTTGAAAAAGTGTCTGTGGTCAATTATATTCCTAGAGCGAGCTTTATTGATAAAGTTTGTTTTTGAGTCATGACATTAAGGTTTAAAGTCAGGCCTATAGTTTATTACAGCAACGCGAGATGTCAATGCTGTCGCCCCTATAGTATGCCCTAACTTGACTGTCAAAAAAAAATAGAAATCTTCATTTGGTTAAATTGTGTGATGTAACGTTTTTTCTTTTTTTGGCGGAAGTTCAAAGTATTATTCTGTTTTACATAAGCAGGGTTGTAGTTTCGACCAACGCAAATAATTTTGAACGTTCATCCGTCGGATTTTTCTCTAAACAGTGTAGCTACGGGCGTATTTCCAACTATTTTTGCAGTAACGAGAAAACTACAAGTTCAAAAAATTTGAAAAAAATATATGTCGCGTAGAATTGCAATAGTAGTTCGTAAGAAAAGTAATGGGAAACTTCATCTATTCGTTTTGAAATAAATGGTGAAAATAGTATATTGTTGTATTAGGAGTAGAAGCTTTACTTTTTTGTGCTGAAGCAGTGGGTTTGCGAGCCGAACGTAGTGAGGCTTGCAATACTGCTGAAGCACAAAAAAGAGCTTCTACTCCGTATGCAACACGCTATTTTTTCTCCAAACGAATGTGGTAAGCTCGGGGGTAACTGGATGGTTGAGCGGCAGTAAAAGTACAAGCGGCACTAAAAGTACTTTTACTGCCGCTCCAGCGGCACCAAAAGTACTTTTGCTGCCGCTGGGGTTGCCAAGCAGCATAGAATAGTATATTGTTGTATTAGGAGTAGAAGCTTTACTTTTTTGTGCTGAAGCAGTAGGTTTGCGAGCCGAACGTAGTGAGGCTCGCAATACTGCTGAAGCACAAAAAAGTGCTTCTACTCCGTATGCAACACGCTATTTTTTCTCCAAACGAATGGGGTAAGCTCGGGGGCAAGTGAATGGTTGAGCAGCAGTAAAAGTACGAGCGGCACTAAAAGTACTTCTACTGCCGCTCCAGCGGCACTAAAAGTACTTTTGCTGCCGCTGGGGTTGCCAAGCAGCATAGAAATTAAATTTCTACCACCTCGACAGGTGTTAACCCGCTGGATTTGCATAGCAGCATAGAAATCAAATTTCTGACATCTTGACAGGAGTTAACAAAGTGACGTTTTTCTGACGTTTGGAGAAAAATTAAATTTCTACCACCTCGACAGGTGTTAACCTCCTGGATTTGCCTAGCAACATAGAAATTGAATTTCTACCATCTTGACAGGTGTTGACAAAGTGATGTTTTTTTGACGTTTGGAGAAAAACTATTTATTTTTTTCAGTTTTTGCGATATAACTCAAAAATGGCAATTCAAATTTGCTTAAAAAAATTATGGATTAAAGTATATCGATAACCATAAAACATATATTTTTTTTGGAATTTTTGAACACAAGGTTCAGAAAATACGGGTTGACTTTAAACCTTAATAGAATTTAAAATAATAATTTACTTCTGCTTACTTCTAACTTACCTATTCAAATCATTAATTTTTAAACAATTTTTTTTAATTACAGCTATAAGTGGAGCCTGGATGACTTTGAATTAGGAAAACGCCTGGGAAGGGGTAAATTTGGCAGAGTATTTTTGGCGCGTGACAGGCGCAGTGGATTTGTAGTGGCCTTAAAAACACTATTGAAAAAGGAAATTGTGCTGGGACGCGTCGAAAGACAAGTACTGAGGGAAATTGAAATCCAGAGCCACTTGAAACATCCCAACATACTCCAGCTACTATGCTGGTTCCACGATTCTCACAGAATTTACTTGGTCTTGGAATATGCTGGAAAAGGAGAGTTATACAACCATTTGAAAAATGCTACCAATAGTAGATTTGATAATCTCGTATCTGCAAAATATGTTTATCAAGTTGCTGATGCTCTGGATTATTGCCATCAAAACCAGGTTATTCATAGAGATATCAAACCTGAAAACTTGCTTCTGACTATTAATGATGATGTTAAGTTGGCCGATTTCGGTTGGTCTGTTCACTCTCCTTCAATGAAAAGAAACACTATGTGTGGTACTTTGGATTACTTACCACCAGAAATGGTTGACAGCAAAGATTATAGACATCAAGTTGATAATTGGTGTTTGGGTTGGTTTTTTTCAATGAAGTTTTTCCCTTAATTTGATATTAATTTTATTTTTTAGGAATTTTATGCTATGAATTTTTGCATGGTTACCCTCCGTTTGAAGCCAATGAGGCAGAGGAAACTTATAAACGAATTAGAATGAGAGATTTGCATTTTGGTGAACACATTAGTGACAATGCCAAAGATTTTATTTCGAACGTAAGTGTTTAGGCTTTCATGAATATCATTATGTCTTTTAGGTACTGGGTACTGCACCCTAAAAAAATTATATGATTATCTGTTTTCTGTTATAGTTTGAAAAATATTGAATATCAAATATCGGGCTTATTAATCAAGTTGATAGCATTTTGCTTCCTAACTTCTTTTTTTTCCAGTTGGTCGTCATTAAAGGTGACAAAAGGATGTCTTTGAAAGAGGCTATGAAGCATCCATGGATCATGGAGAACTATGTTAACCGTAAAAAAGGTAAAAAATAAGGCCACCCTTTAAATCGGAGTCAATTGGATATTTTTTAATTTTTGATTTTCCAAAACGACTCTGACTTATAACTTTTTCGTTGAATAGGTTTAAGTTTTTAGTTTGTAGTTTTTTCATATTACTTTTCCTATGGCAGAAAAAATAAGCCTCACTACAAATAATCATAGTAAATTAGATTGATTTAAAATGTTTTCCAAACATCTAATTTTCTCTGATTATTTTGTAATTTTAGAATATAACTTTTATTTAGTTTGAATTTTGTATGTATTTTGTTACTTTTGCAGTTATGTTTTTGAAATTGGAATTTTCTATTTATTTTGTTATTATTTGAGAATTTTTGATTTTCCAAGTGGCTTTGACTTATTATAACATGTTTTGCCGAATAGATTTAAATTAGTCTTAGGTTTGTATTCTTTTATATTACTGTTCCTATGGCAGAAAAATGAAGCCACACTACAAATAATTATAGTCGACTAGATTCATAAATGGTTTTCAAAAATCTAATTTTCTCCGATTAATTCGTGTTTTTTTTTTTATTAGAATGTGTTTATTTTTTTACTTTGAATTTTCTATGTATTTTGTGTGTTACTGTTACGACTATGAATGTAGGTACTCTACATATTTTAGAATTTATTTTTTTTACAAACAGTGATAAATAAAATTATATATTTGTGCAAATTTTGTTTATTATCTCCATAAAACTTTTTTTTTTTAAGTTGTGGGAAGGAACAGCTAGTATAATAGTATAATATTGTCACAGCCTATTTTGCTGCAACTGTGGGTTTGGGATTTTAATGAAATAAAACGATGAGTCCCAAAACATTAAGGATAATTAAGTTTATTGATTACAACTAGAGGATTGATTAACTGATGAGAACACTAAGACATAATTTATAAATGTTGAATAACGGTACTTACCGGAGACCCGTCTTTCTGTAGCATGTAGCGTAGTTCGTAGCACAACTTTAGCGCCCGAATTTAGATTTACAACTAACCCGCAAATGACGCCTTATCGATCCAAATCGACTCAGAAATGTCAGCAAAAATCGTTGACCTAAAACCTAAGTCGTTGGCTCTGTGTTTTTTGCTAACATCCTGATGCGTTTGCTTTATTTAATATAACATTTGTATTGCCCAACTAAATTGGAACATCACTTGTCAATGAACTTTGGTTATTTCATATTGAAATGATAATAGGCCTGTTCGCACAGAAATCACCAACCAGTCAGAGCGAATTTCATTGGTTGAAACTAGTTTTCTGACTATTTCTGACTGTTTCCAACCAATGAAATTCGCTCTGACTGGTTTGTGATTGCTGTACGAACAGGCCTAATGTTTTGAAGGGGGATATTTTTTGGCTTGACATTTCCCTCAGACTACAGAAAGCTGAACTCCAGCGATAAAGGTTCCTGAAAAAAAGATTTTAAATCGAAACATTTAAGATTTTAAATTGAAACGTTTAATATTTTAAAAAATAAAACAAAATTATAAAAACAAAGCAAAATTGATACAAGTTAATAAAAATTAAATACTAAAAGCTACAAGTTAAAAGTTACAAAAAAAAATTATTTTAAATTTTCCCAAGTACATTTCCTATTAAAATATAAAATTAGGAGTGGTAGGTAGATAGGTATTATAAAATAAGTGAAAATCAAAAAAAAAAACTCCAATGAAACAAGTTAAAGCTTGTTATATAAAAATTAAAACAAAAGTTATGAATTCCGTAATTACAGTTATTTTTTACTTTTACCTACCAACCCAAATAGAATGATACATAGGTACCTACACCTAAAAAAAATTAAGGAGAATTAAGTATACATTGAGAAAAAAAATAACTGATTAACTTACCAAAACGCTAAGAGAAAATTACCAATATTGATAGATGGAATTAAAGTGCGCCTATTCCTGTCCTATGCATGTGCTGATTCCTCCTCTCTTTGTTGACTGGTGCTTTATCTGACTGGCTTGCTGTTAGCGGCGTCTGATATTTTGGCGTAGCTTCCAAACCATTGTATTGTCATTTTTCGGATTGTAATTTGAATGCGTTGTGATCATATGGTTTTACTCTTACTGGTAACAAATGATGAGTACAGGGAGCCGAGTATGGAGTTTATTTGACTGTTCGATTCGAAGTTCAATCAATATGTATTCGATCGATAGTTCCCGCCAAGCGCCAAGTTGCTTTGCCGGCGGCGGACGACGGTCCTCATGCGTAGTGGCGAAACTTGACCTCTACATCCTGGTTGGTCTAGGTCATGTTACTTGATATTTCCTAATCTTGGGCGGTGATTTTCATCCCCAGTGGTAAAATGGAAGTGATGGTTATAAGCGTCTGGTCACTGTTATCGAGGTCTTTGCGTCTCGAATTTTTCGCCTTGGTCATATTCTGGATCTTCACTATTCTTCACTGCATGGAAGAACCATTTGGCATTTGGTGGAATTAATAAAAATAAGCATTTGCTTTTATGTACATACTACTATTTTTCTCAGTAAATGCTTGGTTTTATATTAATAAAAAGAAAAACCAAATCCTTTGCAATAAGCATTTGCTGACGCAAGTATCTGCACCACATAGATTAATAAAATTAGGAGTTTGCTAGTGAAAATAAGCAAATGCTCCTAAAAAGATAAGTCTGCCTATTTAGTTGCTTTCAACTCTCGCTTTGAAATGTTGAATTCCAATTCCAACATTACAGAACATAGTTCGATTTATCACTTGCTTCAGTTCCAATAATTCATGTTTCATATTACATAACATAGCAAAACTGCGTTATTTTCCTGCACTTTTATCGATGGCAAATTTCACATCTGTTAAGGTTTAAAGTCAACCCCTATTTTCTGAACCTTGTGTTCAAAAATTCCAAAAAAAATATATGTTTTATGGTTAACAAAATATTTTTCAAATTTCAACCATAACAGTAAACTCAATAGCATAATAGTTATTTACCTAACAAGTGCGGAAAGTGGTACTTTTCCGCACGAGACGGCAAATGCACGAACGACGCGGAGCGGAATTCGGGCAAGCCGTCGAGGGTGGAAAAGACATTTTCCGCAAGAGTTAGGTACAATATTTTTCCTACGAGTGCTTTTGTCCATCTTATTTATCAAAAAAAATGTTCCAATACGCAAAGATTTTATAATGATGGTACAAAATAGCACATAATATAAAATAATATACAGGGTGTATATTTTAAGTGATAGATACCACTATGGCTATATTCGAAACGGTAAGAGCTACAAGGTCGGTTAAATTAGAAAAAAGTTGCCTTTTTTGATGCTCATTCAAGACTTGTTTACAGTGCTGCCAAAGTCCTTTAAGTTTATGAAATACAGGACGATTTATAAAAAAGGCCTAAAATTATTTCGTCAATTATTTTGAAAACTATTGATATTCGGGACACAATTTAAATTTGAAAGTTTTATAATTTTTTTCGCTCTACAACATGGCATCTTCAAATTTTAAATCCGACGTTTCGTGATCGAGATACCATCATCAACTTCATTTTTTTAAATACGGACCTGGATTTTTTATGTCATTTTTGGAAAGAGAATTGAGGGCGCTTCCTAAAAATGACATAAAAAATCCAGGTCCGTATTTAAAAAAAATGAAGTTGATGATGGTATCTCGATCACGAAACATCGGATTTAAAATTTGAAGATGCCACGTTGTAGAGTGAAAAAAATTATAAAACTTTCAAATTTAAACTGTGTCTCAAAAATCAATAGTTTTCGAAATAAATGATGAAATATTTTTGGACGTTTCTAAGAAATCACCCTGTATTTCATAAACTAAAAGAACTTTGGCAACACTATAAACGAGTCTTAAATGGGCATCAAACAAGGCAACTTTTTTCTAATTTAACTGACCCTGTAGCTCTTACCGTTTCGGATATAGCAATAGTGGTATCACTTAAAATATACACCCTGTATACCATAAATCATTTATTTGATCCTAAATATCTTCATTTTTAGCAATAAAAAAATCGTGCGGAAAAGTAACTTTTCAGCACGATTTTACTTTTCCGCACGATTTTACTTTTCCGCACGATTTTTTTATACTTACACAAAAAAATAATGGAACCGGATTTTTTTATCATGATCCTTGGCCTATAACTAAATTGGCCAAAAAAATTGTTAGGATTCCCTACCTTCGCGGGGCTATGCCACCCAAAATAGGGGGCCCTGCAGGGCTGTGCCCCCAAATAAGGGGCTCCGCCCCCAAATAAGGGGCTCCGCCCCCAAAAAGGGGCCCCGCGGGACTGTGCCCCTCAAAAATGGGGCCCGCGGGACTATGCCCTCCAAATAGGGGGCCACCGCGGGGCTCCGTCCCCCAAATAGGGGGCCCCCGAACTTTAATATGGGTACACTTTTCAGTAAAAGTGAAAATCGTGCGGAAAAGTAAAAAAATAGTGCGGAAAAGTAAAATCGTGCGGAAAAGTAAAATCGTGCGGAAAAGTAAAATCGTGCGGAAAAGTAAAATCGTGCGCACGCTCGTAGGAAATAGTAATTTTCCTAACAAGTGCGGAAAGTGATACTTTCCCGCACGCGACTGCCGTTGACCCGAACGACGCGAAGCGGAGTTCGGGCAAGCAGTCGAGTTTTTTTTTTTTTTTTTTACGGATATGCGCACTCGCAAGGAAATGTCCTATCACGCTCGAGAAGCGGCAAGTGCGCGGAAATGTCGGTGTATGTTGGTCTTGAAACGGTTCAGGTTGTAACCTGCAGGGAAAACCGTCGCAGGGAGTTTATTCCACAGCGATGCTGTTCTCCAGAGATATGAATTCTGATATAATGAGGTGCAGGAAAGACACTTTCCGCATGAGTAAGGAGGTTAACGCGAGAAGACAGAAGGTCGTTCGAGCAATGAATAAAAACACTGTTTAGACCATAGATATTTATACAATGATTTGAGCTAAAAGTGACCCATTTGGTTTAACAGATAGGAGGTTGAAACGGATGTGTTTTTGATTTTTTCTCCATGTTGCACAGTCAAAATTATAAATAAATTAATGAATGAAATTTGATAGAGTAAAATTAAATTTGTGCAAATGGAAAAATCAACATAATGAAAACGTCAAGATCAAAACCAATAACATAACTCGAGACATAACCCGTGTCTAGCGTGACCGCGTGACGATGATCGACCAATCACTAATGAAATTGGAATCTTTCCAGTGGAAAGCGAAACAAAACGCGAGCCAAAATTCATCGCTTTCGCTTTGCAATCGGCTTCGTGATCGGAGTTCCCGATTCTCCCGAAAGGTGTTATAGAATAGCAAACTGAACAAAGCGTCCGATAACGAACGTCATTGTTTTGCTTTGAGCTTATAGAATCCGCCCCCAGAACTACTCCCCGCATGCCAAATAGTAAAACGTTTCCCCTCTGACTTAATTTTGGATGGGTTGCTTTTCATATCAGATTCGTGTATCCATCGACGAACTTGAGATCCGTTTTGGTAGATCCAAGTTTCATCTAAATACACGAATCTGATATTTTCGTTTGAATGTTTATATTGGAGGTATTTCCGCAAAAATGTAATTTTGGTAGCAAGAACATGTTTCTGCTCACATAAAATTTTGCAACCATTTACTGCTTTAAATTTATATCCCATAGATTTTAAAATTTTATATAAACTTGTTCGCCCTCCCTTAAATTCAAAATTTTCTTTTGCGTATA